GGAAAGGGGCACCAGCATGGCAGTGGGGGGGAGGCTGTGAGTCGGAACTGAGAGGCAGTGGCATGGGCAGGGCGCTGGTATATCAGGGCTGCTTGGTGATACACAGCAGTAGGGGTGGACAGCCACAGCTGGACCTGTGTCCTTGTGAGCAAAGGGAACAGGGTGAAATTCTTGGGATTTTATTTATGCCAAACCAGTCAAAATGTATGACGACTACATAGACTTTATTGTCATCAACCAGTAAAGCAGAGGTCTTAAACTTACACTATGTAAAAAATTCTAAAATGCCTGCATCTCTCTCGCTGCATCACAGGGTAGCTGTAGGATATTTATTTTTATCTAGTCTTGCATTTGCATTTATGGAAGATGAATTTTTCAGGAGCAGTTAAAACATTTCTCTCACAAGTTTATGAAATGAACCATTTCAGATTGTGGTGTGTGTGTCTGTGTGTCATTCTGCAAAGCAATTAAAGTTAGAATGAACTGGTTCTTAGTGGACTTCTTATTTCTTATACTAATATAACACTTTGCAGGTTCTTCCCCCTGGGTTCTTCTGGTGCTTGAAGCTTTCTTTCTTTTCCTCCTCCTTTCTGAACAGTAAGAACAAATCGTTTCAGGGTAACATGATTAGCATGCTCTGCATGAGAACCCACCTACCTTGAATGTAAATTATACCTAGTGCTAAATGTAACCATGTTTTCCCAAAACCATTTATCTGCCACTGTAAATGTTTGGTAATTTTTTCTTTTCTTTTCTTTTTACAGAAACAGTGTTTAAAAGTGCATGGGTTATCCCACCCTTTGCAAATAATGCATCCTTAAAGTAATCTATGCCATGACATGTATTTAACTGTTTGCTTTTTTGTTATTGTAGAGGTTGACAGTATTATCAAAAGATTTTGTTGTGACCCAAACCATGAGAACGTCAAGAGATCATAAAAAAGCAAATGTTTTTTGGATGTAGAAATGTATCAGATTGATGGCATACACTCTCCTGTTAGCTTCCCCTTCCGGACCCACTTCTGATTCACATCTCAAGTTCAATATATGTTTTGAAGAGTGGTTGCAGCGGTGCATGTTATTTACATCTTTGCATCCTTTTATGCCTGGGCCTTGATTTTCTGTGTACCTGAACAGTACCAGAATGTTGAAATTCATTGCATTTGATCAACTTGACACCCTTTCTAGTAAAATGGGCTTTTGCATTTTTAATACTTAGAGAATCCAGAAGAGAGAAACATTTCTCAAAGGATTGAGAGAGATTTACCATTATAAGTAACAATGACTGTTTCACAAGTATCTTGAAATATTTTTATTACTAGTGTGGATTAATTTTCATATAAAAATCAATTTCAAGTGTAGAAATTTAACACTTGTAAAAACATAACATGGTCCAATTTTTCAAAAGGATTTTCTTTAAATGCTAAAGTTACTAGAGACATATAACATAGGTAAAAAAAAATCTTAAGATATGGATTAAATGTGTCCATTTAGGGATAAATGTATATTTATGGACTTTAAAGGTTGAGAAACTGCTGCTAGGGAATCCATCAGCTCTTAAGCTATAACTCTTGCATCTGCATGGTCCTGTAGCAATGCAAGTGAGTTAAATCACCATAAGTTTGACCCTGAATGAAGCAGAGTTAAAGTTGGAGTGGTTTTGCTATACTTGTCTCACTACAGAGTCATGTAAATGTGACAGTTGCATCATATTAGCTTATATTGCTGTCCTTGGATACCGATACAGTTGTTACGCCTGTGTAACAAAAATCGTTTGTAAGTCATGCAGATAGTAAAATGATAGGTCTATGCAAAGCTTCAGTTGCTGATTTGATTCAGTGAGATTTGGCCTGATTCGGTGGCTGAATATCTGAATCAAATCAGTAGATCCTTTAAACTCTCTGAATCAATTTGGATAGATTCAATGATTCGCCCATAGACACAGCTTTAAATGTTTTTTCTACGTACCTCAAAATACCAGGCGGCTCGTGAATGCTGAGATGCTGGGGTGGATGGAGCATCCCATGGAAGCACAGGGTGCTCCCCAGCACACTTGGCAGCAGACCCAGAAGTGGACCAGAAGCACTTCCAGTCCACTTCCACATCTGCCGGGGGACTGCAGAGGACCCTTCCCTCCTGGCTTGGCGACTGGTGCCTCCTGGGTCTGTGGGGGCACCGAGGGTCTCCCTTTAGCCAGTTGCTGAGCCTGGGGTGTGGGGGTGGTCCCCCATGTGTTCAGCAGTGGACTCAGAAGTGGACCGGAATAGCTTCTGGTCCACTTCCAGGTCCGCCGCCAAGCATGCAGGGGGCTCCCCTGGGCTCCTGTGGGATGCTCCACCATCACAGCGTTCATGAGTTCCTGGTACTTTGAGGTATGTAGAAAAAACACTTAAAGCTGTGTCTATGGCCAAATCACTGATTCTCTGAATCAGCATCAAATCTTCAGATTTGGATTCAGCAGAATCGAATTGGGACAGTGATCCAAATCAACGAATCAAGTCACTGTCCCCAATTCAGGCCAAATCCAAATCTGAATTGAATATAACCCATTTTGCACACCTCTATAAAATGACATCCATCCAAACCTCATCAGCTTTTTGTACATTATTTTAAAATATTACTACATTATTTAATTTTAAAGTGTTAACCTTTAACTGCACAAATGAATAGTTGTGTGAGCATAATCGCCACCATATTTTGTTGTGCAAGAAAATTTTGTTTATTTTTTGTATTTGTAAAGGACTCTCCTGGACTGTTACTAATTACTTTGCTAGCTTTTCCCCAGTTATAGATCTTCTGTCTAAGTAGTTGTATACTTAAAAGATACATTCAAATTTGGTACAGTAGACCTAAAACTAGTGTATGTTGCCACAGCTTTGAGTAATTTGATGTTCATCTGGGAGAGAGTTACTTTCAATGTTCTTTTAATGTGTTTTTTATACTGGTAGGAGTTTCTAGGTAAGACATTTATCTAAGTAGGATAAAATAAAAATATGGACTGTGCCCAATTAGTGATAAACACTGTAAATCAACTTAATAACTGAAATTTGATATAAGAGCTGTTGACTTCAGTAAAGTTGCACTGATTTGCAGTAACTGATGAGGTGATCTATAGTTTTCTTCTCAAAACCTGACAGGGATTGTTAGTTCAGGACTAAAAATTATGGTATATAAAAAAAGACTGTCAAAATGGTCATTCACACAAAAAGATTTGTATATGATAGAAAAATAAATGCCAATATTATTTGGCATTTTATGTTTGAACTTAGGATAAGCAGCCTTAAAAGAAGGAAACATGGTACATTCAGAAACAAAATTATAGTACTACACCTATTAACAGTGCCAGTATTAGGTAAATGATTCATTGTTTTATCCACCTACTATGACCTTCCTGTTAAAACTGTGTCTTAGGCAGTTGAGCAAGATGAGTAATGGCACCCATGTAGCTTGTATTTTCCTTCAGTATTTTGTCTGTAGACAGAGTAGAAATAATTATGATTTGTCACAGCGATCAAATCTTTGTTATGACACACCTTTTGTTACAGTACTATTTCCTTTACAATGTACTTAATGCAAAGGATTAAATCAGGGTACCAGCCAGAAGAAAGTAGATTTGAGCCTCAAAGAAATCAAAAGAAGGTTTAGTAACAGATGGAATTTAAATTGTGTTGCAGGTTTTCTAGGTGCCTTTTTTTTAAATAAGATGATTTGGCTGAAGGATGAAGTGAGCACACTAACATTTTGAAGTGAAAATAGAATTAAACACAATTTTTAGTTGCATTTCAAAGTAATTAAAAATGAATACACACTATTTTACTAATGCTTGTGGAATAATACCTGTAGTAGGTAAAGGAAGTTTTCTACTGTCAAATCTTGTTCAGATCAATCTTTGCATAAAGTCAGGTCAAAAAGATAATAAAAGATAATCTATAACAGAAATTTAGGGCCATATTCTGAGATATTAGCATCCCATTCTTCCCCCTAATATATTAGCATCCCATTCTTCCCCCTAATATCAATAGGAGCTGTAGATACTTAGTATTCCTCCAGAGTAAGAAACACAAACCAGATTTGTGTTGTTGAGTATAGGTTGTCTTTTATTGTACGTAGATGTGAATCCACTATTCCATTTCTTTGTCCTGTAGGATCCAATCCTTGTTATTCTCATGTTCAATGGGAATTTCCCATTCTCTTCAATGGAATGAGATTGAGCCTGTAAAATGTAACATGCTGTTTGATGTTTCATGTTGTTTTGTTTAAATTATTAAAACACCCATTTTTAGAAGACAGTTTGTGACTTAGACTTGCCCAGCCATATTTCAAAATACAGATAATAAAGCTGCCAGTTGCACAAGTGAAATAATAGTACTCTGAAGCCTTTTACTTTTTTGTTACAGCTTCTTTTCTAAGCTTACAGTGTCTCTCCAGCCTCCTCTAAGCACAGAGCAAACCTGCCTTCTTTCAGGCTCTCTGAGGTACTTTTACATGCTTTCTTTCTTTCCTTATTTGTCATTAAGTGAACAGAACTCAACTATACTTCATGTGTCTGGTCACCAGCTTGGAGTTGCTTCAGCACAAAAACAAACAGAATTGGAGTAAAAAAGAAAAGTACGGTACATGTGTAAAACAAAAGACCTTTTCTATCACAAGCAGTAGGTCATGCTGTAGGGACAAAAAGGACCCATCTGTTTTTTATTTCGTAGTAAAATAAACCTTATTATAAAATGTTGCTGTACCTTTGTTTTCTGTTTCAACATCAGTTAATGTTGAAACAGAAAATAAAGATCTCTCTTTCAACATCAGTTAATAGGTTCAGTACTCATTAATTTTCCATCAATAACTTATATCTGCAAATTCAAGCTCTAGGCTCATGTTAATTTTGCCATGAGAATGAAACACAGTGGATTTTCATCTCTTTGTGTCATTTTGAGAGAGAGAGAGAGTATTTAAGTAATCTACATTCAGTCACAGACACTGCCACCACTGTTTAGTGTGAAATTAAAATGGAATTAAGCTAACTTATAAAATTCTGCAAAAGAGACCTCCTCCTTTAATTCACGCACATTGTAGAAGAAATTATTCTAGCACATTTGGATATGCCATCTATATTAGAGTTCATCAGATTTCCTGCATGTTCAGATATGCCATGTACGTTGTAGAGCCTCAGGTTAGTTCAAGGTTATGTCACATTGCATGTCACAACATAACCTAATATAGTCTGATGGTGCACTTTGATTCATCACATTACATTATAAATACAAAAGAAACAAGTATTACTTAAAGCAGGTTTGAACAGTTAGTTGGTCTTTTATGGCCAATGTAACCTTGGTTTCCAAGCTTCCTAATACATGTAGAGTGATGCACAGAAGGAAATAAGACAGTAGCTGGCTAATGAATTTATTTTCTTTGTAGACAAGCTGATATACGGACCCCAGAAGACAGTCCAGGAGGACAAAAGGCTCAATTAGACCAAAGTTCAGGACACAAATGGAAGGCATCTACTAGACCATTTAACACAAGAGAGCCTACTGCTTTGTCTCAGGAGAGCAGGGGGAGGTCAGGAACATTGCCCAGTGATTACAGATATTCGCAGGAAAATGTGATAAAGAACCATAAGGATTGCAGCTTGCCTCTTCTCCCTGGTTCTGAGGTGCAGACATCAAATGCAAGAAGCCACTCCTGTCTCCCTCAAGGCAAAGGAGAAGAAAATCAGAGGATAGAGCCAGCATTGCTAAATAAGAAACGTGGACCTGCTCCCCAAAGGCCTCCCCCACCAAAACGGGATAATAAACACAGGCATCAGGACCATTCCACCTCATTGCTTGGTACCTCTTCAGAGTCTTTGCTGACAGTACCCAGCAGGCCCATTCAGTCCTTTTCCCCTAGTTCTGGTGAGGTGTTTACAGGTCACTCATCTTTATCTCAGAGTCCTGCAACATTCAATGGAAAACTAAAAAGTGCTCACTCACAGGAACTCCAGCAAGCATTGTCCACAGAGAATGTTTATCAGCACTTAGAAGAGAAGACTCACCTTAAATCTGAAGCTGCATTATCTTTGAAGTATCGCTACCTTCAGAAACCCAGAATGGAGACATCAAGGTCACCTTCGCCTCAGTTTGCACCACAGAAGTTGACTGATAAGCCTCCTGTATCTGTGCTAGATGAGAATCCAACAAGGTATTGTGACATTATAGTATTGTAGCAATTATAATCTTTTCCCCTATATTAAAGTACATTGTTATTTTGGAATTGCTTTCAGCAAAGAGGTAAGAACGATCTTTTTAGGTTCATGCAAAGTAGTTGCCCTTTCTGGTCTGTCTCATTAGGGAATGTGGGCTTTGAGGCAATAGTAAGTGCAACAAAGACTTTTACTATATTGAAACTTCTAGTTAACTCTGTTATATTACTTCAGCTGATCTCTTGTTTCTTCTGGAAAACTGTAAATAGAGGTGCTGCTGTGTTTTAATATCTACTAGCCAATTAGAAACAAGAATAAGATGAAGTCTTTTTTAAATGAAAGAAAAGGCCTTTTTACAGAAATCAACTAAGTGAGATTTTTTTTCTGAGCCATGGGTGGTTTCTGATCCATTGCAGGCAGAGAACTAAAAAATTATTTTGAAAGAAAATGACATCTATTTTGATGGCATCCATAACAAAACCTCATGTTGAAGTATGCTGCCTGCTTATGCGTGTTATTAAGTGGCATTGGCTACAGAGTCAGTTGTAATGTATGCCCTTCCTATTTTAGTGTATATTGTCTGTGTCTGATGGTCAAATAGATTTTAAGTTACGTTGTATTCTAGGTGGGTGGCATCCAACTCCGAGCTGTTTTCCTAAAGGATTATAACACGCTCCAGGAGGTATAGGAATATCATTTTCATTAAACACTTAATTTGATGTTATAATTCAGGAATGAAAGAAGAAAAAAATGATTCTTACTCAATGAATTGTGAGGTTGCTCTGCTGAGCAAGAAAGACATGAGTTTTCTTTAAAGGTAAACACTATTTTTTCAGTTTTATCCATGAGGTATTTTGTGTATGCAAGCTCAGTTGTTTTCCAAAGGAGTCATACAGATTTAACCATGCTATCTTCAGTTTTTTCAAGTTTAAAAAAAATGATATTCTGAGGGTTGGAGTGGGGTTGGAGTGTTATAGCCACAGTGGCCCAGCACATACATGAGAAGCAACATTTTTTGGTAACATGTCTTTTAATGGACCGACTTTATAGTTGGGAGAGATATTAGACAAGCTTTTGAATGTTAAGAGCCCTTTTTCAGGTCTGGGAAGAAGCAGATACAGTCTAAGCTAAATTATAGATGAAATAATGATTTAACTCCAAATGAAAACAGTCACTTAAAGGACCAGAGGAGATTTGTAAACTGGGAGCCAAAGAGAATTTGTCCGGAGTATCTTCAAAACCAGAGAAATGCAGTTGAACAAATAATATAAATCTGTAGAAGAACAGGGGGAAAGGGTAATTGTTATCTGTGGAGTGTAGCGAGGCTAGCAGAGATAGCAGGTAGCTTGTAAAGACCTGTAAAGCCATTGTCTGCATTTAGTCCATGGTTTTCACTGTTCAGTAAGGTTATGGATTTTTTTCACGGCTTGCCTTTATAAAGGAGTTTTGTAGAGTTCCTTTGAGTACAAGGATTGTGAGGTCAGAAAAGGAGTGGTTGTTCTGTGCAAATCACCTAGTGGTGATTGTGTATTTCTCTCCCTCATCATTTTTCTGTGACTCTCTTCTGGAGCGTCATGGTTGTTTTATCTCATCGACATCATTTTTGTGAGGACGTTCTGTGATAGACATGTACAGAATTTGTTGGTTCTGGTGGCTTCATTTTGGGAGGGGGTGCTGATTGTGGTGCTGAGATGCGTTGACAGGTTTTGCATTTAAGATGAGATATTTTGAAAACAGTACAGGATTTTAGTGGCACATCTTTTAATAATACTTTAAAATTCTCACCAAAGATAGTCTAGATATGTATGTATACAAATTGTTATTCTTGTAAATACTCGCCTAGTGAAACAGCTAGTGTAACTCGTAAGGGAAATGTAGGCAGTGACACCGTGCTCTTTGTTATTTCATGTAAATGGAACACACTGAGTAGATCGGCATTAATACATTTACTCTGATATTTGAACAATTGTGTTTGAAACTTTTTCTGATTCCTTGCATGATGGTTTTCAGATGTATCTCATCCTGTCTGATCATTAACATGCAACTGGTTGCTCTTCTCTGAGATTGTACATCTTGCTGATGACAAGGTGTTGTAGGAAAACATCCCTGCCCCATTATAGTTGGGATTTTGTTGTGTGAGAAAATAAAACACTTGTGCTGTATAATTATATATTCTTCAAAACACCCCCCCTTGCAATCATTAGCACATGCGGAAATTTTAATCTGGAAATGTATGGCCATTTTTCTAGTGCACCAACACACAATGTGAGAACGTTCATGGCCAAGTTCATGCAGGTTCACAGATTGCAGTCAGACAGAACCGTGAGATCATCTCATCTAGCCTCTTTGCAGGCCATAATGTTCCTTCAGTTTCCCCAGCATTGAGCCAACTGACTCCTGTGCCCTTGAATTATTTTCCTTTGTAAGTCTGAGATACACACTTAAACATAGTTAAAAGTTTCCATGGGGATTTCAA